TTTCGTTAAATTCTGGGATATTTCCGGATGTACTTAAATTAGCAAAAATAACTCCAATGTACAAATGTAATGATCATTCTGACATTACAAACTACAGGCCTATATCAGTACTTTCTGTATTTTCAAAACTATTCGAACGTGTTGTTTATGATAGAATCTATGATTACTTAATTAAAAACAATTTTTTTTACCCAAATCAGTTTGGTTTTCAAAAAAATCTCTCTACTGAGCATGCAATCATTGAAATATAATAAATATAATAAATTTACTTTAGGAGTATTTCTTGATTTATCAAAAGCATTTGATACAGTGGAACACTGTATTCTCTTACATAAATTAAGACATTACGGAAGAGTTAATAAAACTTATCATTGGATTAAAAGCTATCTTACAAACAGAAAACAATATGTAAATAATGCCCAATCTGGAGTGTTAAATGTTGTATGTGGAGTTTACGCAAGGATCGATTCTTGTTCCACTTCTTTTTTTAATATATATAAATGACTTCTGTAATGCATCCTTAAAACTTAATTCAGTCATGTTTGCAGATGACACGAATTTATTTCTTACCAACAACGATATCAAGAAATTATATGCGGACATGAATATTGAACTAAATAAAGTAAATAACTGGTTTAAGGCTAACAAACTCTCACTTAATACCAAGAAAACAAACTATATTCTTTTTCATAATAAAACACAAGAAGAAAATCTTCCTCTCAAGTTGCCGAACCTATTTATAAATGATAAATTAATTAAAAAGCAATCCAATATAAGATTTTTGGGAATAGTTGTTGATGAAAAATTATTCTGGTTTCCTCATATAATATATATCCAGTCAAAAATTACCAAAACCATAGGTTTAATGTATCGAGTATGCTCGTACATTAATACAAATAGTCTTAAATTAATCTACTTTGGGCTAATTCACAGTCTCATCAGCTATGCAAACATTTCATGGGCAAGTACTCAAACAGCAAAGCTTAAGAAACTTTATAGTTTTCAGAAACATGCTTGTAGAATCATTTACTTTAAAAATAGGCGGGAACACGCTAATCCCTTGATGAAAGATATAAAAATAATGAATGTATTTGAAATAACTATCTACCACATTTAATTTTTATGTATCGTTACAATCACAATATCTCTCCTATAAGCTTTAATAATAAGTTTGAGTTAAATAAAAATTATAACTATAATCTTAGAGCGAATATGTTGAACACATATAAACTGCCAAGGATAATAAATAAATATTCAAAATACAGCATTTTATATAGAGGTCCAAAGGTATGGAATATTTTTCAGAAAGAGTTCAGAGGTACGGTCAGTTCGTTAAGTTCATTCAAGTTTTTAACAAAAAAAGAAATCTTTAAAACCGGTGAAACATTTTTTGTTAATAATGCTTTGGATAAATTCTCTTAAATAAGTTTTTGTTTTGTTTGTTACTTGACAATTTTTATTAGCGGATTACGCATTTTGTTATGATATTTTATTGACATTTTTATTTTGTATGTCATATTACGATATTTTAATTAAATCTTGTTAAAGGGGTTCTATGAAAAAATTGTGATGACGTTCTGTCATCCTCATCTTCTTTGAGTCCCTATCTGTTTTACTTATTTTGTTAAATTTTATATTATGTAGTAGAATCTGTAAAATTCTTATGTTATGTAAACAGAGAAAAAAAAGAAAAAAAAAGAAAAAAGAAAAAAAGATTACCATATCTATATATTAAATTGTTTTAATTAATTATTATATTGATTGTGTGAGGTCTTCCCGTGACATAATTTCAACTTCTACTGGGTTTAGCGCTACGGTTTTTAATTAAGAAATCCACGTGTGGAGTTATTCTCTTAGGGAATGTTTTAGCAATCATTTTTTGTGTTATTCTCCATAGTTATCTATTCTGCCATCGCTTATTGTTTTCTGAACGATTGTTAGAAATTATTGTCAAGAGGGAATCGTTTGCTTAACAATCACTACAACAGATTTAAAATGGTACAAGCAGTTTCAAAAGTTATTAAACAATAAAATAACTTTTGAAATCATTAACTCCCAGGTTCAGTGAAATACATTAATTTTAGATCACATAAATGAGTTATGCAACATTCATAAATTGAATATGAAAAACTTAATTCTGGTAAAGAAAAAATTTAAAATTAGAGATCAAATTCAGAAAATGAATTTCTTAAAAATACTCTTCAAAATACAAGAAGTTCAATGTTGGAATGCAAACAACATTTTGAAAAATGCACTTTTCGTAGCAGTCAATACAACTGATAAAACATTACCAATACATAAAATCTTTTTTTTTTTATTTCTTCCTTGATTTTAAATTCTATTTGATAGTTTGTATTTTAACCTTACAAACATATTTACAGAGACTCATTAATATATTTACATTAAATAAGTTACTTGTTTTTGGTGAATTTCAATAACAAGAACTAAGGGATTGTTCATAAACTACGTACACTCATTGAGGAAATGGGGACTGCAAATGACATATCTGAGATAAGGGAGCAGTAGGTTTAGGTCAATTATAAAGTATGGAGACACTAATTTAAAAAAAGTAAAATATCATAAAATGTTGGATTGGTAGTATAAAAGCCTAGGTACTTTTAGAGAAGTAGAGGGTACTCAAAAAAGCGTATGGCAAAATGCGGAGAATGAGAAAGTGGGGTGGGTTGGCGAAAAAAGAGCGTACATACTTTATGGACGACCCCTAAGTTCAAGCAATAGTTTTGGTTCAAGATTAAACAAATTTAAAGATTAAAAAACTTTTTAATTAAGGAGTAAACTAAGTATTCATCGCCTTTTTCAAATAAGTCCGACATTGGGGCAGTTTTTAAAATGCAGCACTATATAAATCGTCTTTCAATATAACATTAATATTTTTATATATATTTTTTTGTTTATTTTTTTATCAATTTATTTAACCATAAAGTTGAAAATAATTGCAAATTTATTTATAAAATTACAAAATTAGGTTTGGTGTCACTCGTATAGTTAAAAATAGTAAAAACTAGTCATTGGAGTGACATTTAAAGTGAAAAACTTTAGAGCAGCCGTGGCGCAGTGGTAGCGCACTTGACTCAGAAACGTAAGATCCGTGGTTCGAACCCAACCTCTGGGCAAGTTTTGCGACATCGGTTGGGAAGGAGGCGTGAACTTCCTATTAAATTCTCTTCCGCGGTGCTCTGTGATAAGACCGTAAGGACTTCTTGGGGCACCTTAATCAACTTAAAACAAATTTAAAGTGAAAAACAAACAAACAACAATATAGATAGTGATCAAAAATTATTATAATAAAAAAAACAACCAGTAACTATTAAAAAAATCCAGACTTATAATAAAATAAGAAAAATTAAATGAACTGACATGAGAGATAATAAACGAATAAGAAAACACAACGTTTAACGAACAGATTCTGATAGTTAAATGTTATGTCATTTATTCATTCTGAGAAGTGTGATAGAAAATAAAATGAAAACAAATAAATGTAATTAAATACCATGATGAGACAAAAAAAAATATGAAATCATATAATAATATTATCAAATGTAAAATGCAACAACAATAAAAATATTTTGCAACAACACCTCAAATAAAAAAAATAAAAAAAATGCACGACAATATAAACAATACACATATGAAAACGTCAATATAAAAGATGTACAAAATTACATAGCAGTATAAACAAAATAGAAATACTCTCGAGTTCTTAATACACGGGTGGGGAAAGGGGGATTGGGTGAAAATGTTTAATAATTTTTGGAAAATTTGTCCACCTACTCTAAGCTTATTTACTTATCCCGCCCCTTCCCCCGCCTCCCACGTTTATTAACTTTTTACTTGCTGTCTTAAAAAAAAAAAAAGGAAAATCGGCTTTTAAAATTAGAAATTATTTATTACAGTCACTAATAAAAACAAAATTTTTCAGTGTAAGCAGACTTTAAAAATTACCAACCAAGTAACGTTATAGGATAAAATCCCCTCGGAAAAAAATCACCCAAAAATGGTTTTATAAACTCTTTGGTATTGAACTTCCATAGCTTTAATATCTTGGTAAAAGCACTCCCCTTGCTTGTCGCTCACTCACTAAGGTTTTCTGGAAAAAAGTCTAGATGGGAATGCAGGAAGTGCATTTTAAAAACAAGCATCAATGAAATTTACAACTCTATTCTTTTAAAAACGCCATTTAAAAGCCAGCTAAGTTTCCGATTCCAGTGGGCTGAGGCCCTTTCAAATCAGTATCCAATAAAAGCTCCTGGATTTGCGGCCCAACAAAAATCGTAGCAGCAGGCTATAAGATAATCAATGTAGCAGCACTTCCTTGTAGCAACAGACTGTAAAATAGTCGATGTAGTGGCACAAGTGGTTCCTTGTAACGCTTTGTACTTATGCCAGTTTAAGTTCAAGCAAATTTATTTTGCGCACTTATGCCAATTGGCATAAGTGCTAACTGGTATAAATCGCATTTATACCAGTTAGCACTTATGCCAATTCGCAGTTATACCAGTTAGCACTTATGCCAATTCGCAGTTATACCAGTTAGCACTTATGCCAATTCCAGTTATACCAGTTAGCACGTATGCCAGTTTTTGTATTTGCTTCAAACTTATGCCAATTCGCACTTATGCCAATGTTTGCAAATTTGTTCTTGTAAAAATTTTAATGGTATTAAAATTGTTTAATTGTACGTTTTGTACTTATATGTAAAAAAAATGTTATTTTGTTTAATTGATATATATATGGATACTTGTGTTTTGAAAAAAAAAAAAAAAAAAAAAAGGTTTTGAATGAGTCGTCACAAAACCACCATTTGGTTTTATAACGACTCATTCAACCCCCAACTCCCTAACCTCCTTATTCAGTTAAAATTACACTTCAAAAACTTAATAAAACACAGACCCCGAAAAATAATGTTAGTATACTATACAAATGTTAACTTTCTTAGTCAGCGTTTTATTAAAAAATGAAAGTCTAAAGAATTAATGAATAAAATGGGTGTGTGTTTATTTTGGATGTGTGTTTGATTTATAATACTATTGTGATTTGAAATAAAGTATTGTGGACAACGTTAAAAATTTTTCTTTTGCATTTGATATCAAAGAAAGGTTGAATTAAACAAGTATTCTTGTCTTTTAATATTAAAAGGTAATTAACTTTAGTTGGTTGTAAAATTTTTAATTGTTTAATATATAGTTAGTGATCAAATTATTACAAGCAATATATTAAATAATAAAAATTTAATTACTTATTGACAATATTATTTTATTATTTTTATTATAAAAGTTAATATTATTATCAACTGAAGTTATTTTTATTCTTTATAAATTTATAATATATATATATATATATATATATATATATATATATATATATATATATATATATATATATATATATATATATATATATATATATATATATATATATATATATATATTACAAATTATTTGTAATATATATATATATACCATTCCTATAGACAACACATATTTGTCAAATATGTGTTGTCTAATTATTTAAATAAGAAATAATTTTTGGAAAATTATTTAAATAACTCAAATAATTCAAATAATAAATATAAAGTTCTAATAGTTATTAAATCAATACCATGCACCAATTTACATTTACTTTGTACTAAAACATTTGTTTTAGTACAAAGTTTATTGGTGCATGGTAAAAACTAAAGACATTCCTTTATGGGTTAATATCTTGTTAACCAATATAAAAATATAACAAAGTATTATATAGGGTAGCATATTTTATTTTATAAAGAATAAGAAAATTGGCTTATTGATTTTGCCAAACACATAAAAACTATTTATTTCTAGTTAAATATGACTTTTTAAGTTAGAGAAAAGTATTGATATAAAAAATGGTTGCTGCCCAACCATTTTTAATATCAATACTTTTCTCTAACTTAAAAATTGGAATAAGATCTACTGCAATAAATCTGGCAAGATTTTTTAAAATTTTTAAAAATTCTGGAGATAAAGGAGAGGTTAAGGCCATCTCTCTTGCCATTTCTAAAGTATTTGATAAAGTTTGGCATGCTGGTCTTCTCCGTAGCTTTCTTCTTACGGTGTATCTGGAAACATCTTTAAGATTATTGAATTCTTCCTTTCCAATCCTAGTGTAAAAGTTGTCCTTGATGGACAGCACTCTTTTTCTTATTCTGTAACCGTTGCAAAATTAGCATCTGCTAAAGTTGCTTCTCTTTATCGAGCTCAACACTTTCTTACTCTGGATTCTATTCTCTATCTCTGTAAATCTCAAATCTGGCCTTGTATGGAATACTGTTGCCATATCTGGGGCGGATCTTCTAATGATGCCCTTTCTCTTTTAAACAAATTGCAAAAACGCATGTAAACATAGTTGGACCTGCTCTTGCAGCCAACCTCTGTCACATAGTAGTAATAATGCTTCTCTTTCTCTATTCTACAAATACTATAATGGGCACTGCTCTAAAGAGCTAGCGTCTCTTGTGCCATCTACTAAAATTCATTCTCGTGTTACTCGTCATTCAATTAAGTCTCATCCTTTTTTTGTTACTGTTCCTAAGTGCTCCAAAAACTCTTACTCGTCTAGTTTTTTTCCTCGAACATCAGTTCTTTGGAATTCGCTTCCTTCATTTTGCTTTCCTGATTCATATAATTTGCAATCTTTTAAGTCGTCTTTCAATCGTTATCTTGCTCTACAATCTTCATCTTTTCTCTACCAGTAACTTCCAACACTAATTAGTGGTTGCTTGCAGCCTTGTTGGAAGGGAAGATGTTTAAAAAAAAAAGAAAAAAAAGAACAATCTCAGATGAATCAATCTTATTTTTAAGACAAGAAGGAATTGAAATCTGACTACTCTTTTTCTCAACTGATTTTTGTTTCTTTAACTCCAAAAGTTTTATAGTTTTAATATTTTTAACTTTTTCAAAATGATTAATCATTGAGCTTGTGGCTGCTGGTTTAATTGTCAATTTGCAATAATTGACAATTAAACCATTTGAATGAATCAAAACATGTTTCCAAACTTCAGAACGTTTTTCAGTTGGAACGATTCACTGCTTTTCCATTTTTAGAATTTTATTTAAATTTATGTTTTCTAAACAAAATTAAAAGTTAATTTATTATGTATATTTTCATAATGATAAAAATATGTTGCCACCACTCAGTCTAAGAAGTATAAATTTGACTTTGTTAGCTGAACAAGCAAGAATAAAATGTAAACAAAATGTTAGAACTCAAATGAAGAGAAAGACTTTAAAGACTTTTTTAAACTTTTTATAGTAAGAAAAATTTAATATTATTTACATTATTAAAAAAAAATAAATTAATTCTTATTATTTGAATTATTTAAAAAAGCAAAACATTATTCTAACAATTTCAAATAAAAAAAAATTTTTTTTTTGATTATTTAAATAATTATTTATTTGATAACAGCCCTAGTTGTCTACTAGCCTTTACAAGCCTTCCCAGGAAAGGCGTGCGGTTTTTCGTCTTGTACGACCATGAAAACATTTTTCAAGTTAGAAAACGTGATCACGGCCGTTTGTGCAAGTTTTATTATATGCGTTGCTGAAAAATTGTTTTAAATTTAATATCTACATAAGAAATTAAAGTAAACTTAAATAGAAAACAAAAATAATAGTTTAAATAGTTTGTGTGTGTGTGTTTTTTTTTTGTTTTTTCTTAGTCGTTATTATTATCGTCAACGAAATTCAGTAAGGCGTTAAAAAGGATGACTTTCCCATATTTCTTGTGTTTTTTCTTTTGAAGAGGAAAGAGAAAGTATGTATCGTCATCGTTTGTAAAATATATTTGTATAATTGTAATGTAGCAAGTTTATATCAAAAGTTAAATTATACGATCGTAATTTGAAAACTCTGGTTTTAGTTAATACAAAGCTGTTTTCTTTGTTTATAAGGAGCAAATTATCAAAAGTTTGCTAGCGAGAAAGTTATAAAAAATAAAACAACAACAATAAACTTACGACTACAAAAGTAATAACACTTTAATCACTAAATGCATTATAAAAGTAATAAAACTATAATAGTGTTATTACATTTATAAAGCACTTATTACTTTTAATGTTCATTCTGTGTTCAAACAACATTAATTCCAAACATTTATTAAAGTAGAAAAAATAAAGCGGATATTCAAATATTATTAAAGATTTCAGGAACTTTCACAGATTACTTAAACAACGTTATAAAAAAGTACTTTATAAAAAGTATAGCATTATGAAAAGTGTTACGTAAAAATGCGCATTAGTTTTAAAATCAACCAATAAAAAATTTCTATTGGTTAATTTTAAAACTAACACGCCTTTTTACGGTCCATTAGTAACGTTTTTCATAATGCTAAACTTTTAATATGATACGTTTTTATAAAGTTGTTTGTCACGTTTTTATAAGTTATTTAAGTTTTAATATTATTTGAACATTCACTTTTGAACATCAACATCCTTCTAGATATTTTTCTACTTCAAAAAGTAAAAGTAATAACACTATTATAGTGTTATTACTTTTGTAATGCAGTTAGTGACTAGAGTGTTATTACTTTTGTAATCGTAAGTTTATTGTTTTATTTTTTATTTTTTCGCTAACAAATTTAAGTTAATTCTCCCCTTGAAAATAAGGAACACGGTTTTGTATAAAGTAAAATTTTGAATTCTAGATATTTTTCCAGATTTTGCGTTTTGCATTCGCTTAATTCAACCCTTGTTGTTATATTAAAATTTTACAAATAAATTTTACAAACACATTGCAATTTGTATTTTGCTATCCTCTTAAAAAAAATGTTTAGAAAAAGAAAATCATTCTTTTTATTGAAGACTTCAAACTGTTTTTTTTTTTTTGGTTCGTCTTATCTAATTTTGTTGCTAAATGTAACAACCACTCTAAAGAAACAAAAATAAAAACTGTACACAAATTATTTAAATGATTTATTTATTTTTAATGTTTTATATTCCAATCTCTTTTTATTTTGTTAGTTTTGTTTTTTTTGTTTGTGAAACTTTTTCAAGTTATTATTATAAAACTTGCAAACGGTCGTGTTCAAGTGGTCTAAAATAATATACTCACATGTGGTCATAGGAGACAAAAAACTGCACGTCTTTCCTGGGAAGGCTTGATATATATATATATATATATATATATATATATATATATATATATATATATATATATATATATATATATATATATATATATATATATATATATATATATATATATATATTATATATATATATTATATATATATATATATATATATATATACATATATATATATATATATATATATATATATATATATATATATATATATAATATATATATATATATATATATATATATATATATATATATATATATATATATATATATATATATATACAGGCCTTGTTTTAAAGCGTTATGCCTAGAGCGATTTACGTACGCCTTAAGCGATTTTTACGTACGTCTAGAGCTGTTTTGGTTAAGCTACTTTTTATCATTTTTTAACTTTGCGGTAACATAAAAGAAGTAATTAATTTTTAAAAAAACCACATTAACTTTTAAATAGCGATATGTAAAGATATTTATTAAAAAAAAGAATTTACTTTAAAAATAATTGTTGTAACTTTTCATTGCAATATATCTTTCCTTTTTATAGCAATTAATTTGACGCTAAACTTTTTATCCAAATATTTAGCAACATGAAAAATTGTTTGTCAATCCTTAACTACAAATTTTTTGCAATGTTGTTAATAAAAATTAGTAATTTTATAAAGTTTTCATTTTTTAAAAAATCTATATTCCATATTTATTAATACAGAATATAAATGTTTTTTGTAATATAGATTTTTTAAGAATTTTTTACTGAATTTATAATAAAAAACATTGCAAAAAAATTTGTAATTAAGAATTAACATTTTTTTGAATATCTCAAAAAATGTCTTAATATTTTTGTTATCATGATAACAAAAATATCAAGACATTTTTTCGAGATATTAAAAAAAATGTCTTTGCTTTTCTTATTAGTTAAAGGTATATAGATACCTTAAGCTTTAAGTTATGCGGGGGTCGGGGGTCGGCACAGAAAAAAAAAATTACCTGTTACTCGCAATATTTGAATGAAGACAATTTGTTAAATTTCTTCTGCGTGCGATT